TCTAATCAAAATTACCGGCAAAGTTTTCGAGCTGACAAAAAGGATTACGGGTTAGGTGTTGGTGAGTACGAGTACGAGGGAATCGTGGACTTACATTATAAACTAAGCACGGTAAAAATTATGTATATTCTAAAACATAAATTAAATACATGTACCTCATTCATGTAATTTACCATTTTAACCCACCTGCCCACGATTTTGTCAGGGGCCTATGCTATGGGAATGACAGGGTTTGTTGTCCGTCGCGTTTCGGAATGTCAGCTTGGGAACACAGTGCACGACGAGCCCTATATAGGCCTGGGCCTCGATAGATGGAAAGATCAATAGAACAGAAAAAAAGTTGCATCCTGACTCCACTTTTCTCATCATACATGTATATCATCTCAATAAAAGTCAGTCATTACAGAAATGCTGGAAAGATGCGAATTCTGGACTGAGAAACATTTACCAGTGTTGTTGGGAAAATTCTCTTAACGGTGTCAGGTCAACTCGACCGTTTGTCAACTCAACTCGAGTCAACTTGACTCTCGACCAACTTGACTGCTGTTCCTTCAACTGTTAAGGTCAACTCGACTCTCGACCAACTTGACCATGCATTACCTAAATGTTGTTCTTTATTGTGTTGGCATGTTAATAAATACTGTAAAATCCTTAACAGCGAAAGGGCATAGAAGGAACACATTTTCCTAGTTCTGGATCACGCGTGTAATTTGTTTAACTGTGGGGTTCGGGGTTCGTGCGTGCGTGCGTGCTTCTTCTCAAATTGGGAATATTATTTTTGAGTATGTCATTGAGGATTCATTGAGCCGAAATTACATGTAGCATCCATAATTTTCGCGATCTGGAACCGATCCGATCTTTATTTTTCCTCTTTTAATATCTATTTTTCAAAGAAAGTGTTTGTCTAATAAATTCGTAAATGGTCGAGTTGACTTGACTTTGAAGTCGAGTTGTTCAGTGGGCAAGTTGGTTCAACGGTCGAGTTGGTCAGGAGTTGAGTTGAGTCAAGTTGGCAAACGGTCGAGTTGACCTACAATCCTCTTCACTCCTCATAGACTTTGAACACAACTGCTGAAGTGGAGTCAGGAAGCAACATTTTTTCCGTCATTACGATATTTACAGGACATGTATTTCAACTTAGAAAGAGTACATGTAGGCCTAAATACAGACGCTTTTTAAGTAGGCCATTAATAGTAGGCCTACTGTTAGCCCAGGTTGGATGTCGTCTAATTGCATTCTGACTATTAAACATCCAGGGTGTAAAAGTCCTCCCACAGTGCAAAATTTTGTTCAGCGTTTTTTTCTAACTTTTTTACCTGGCGAAGACAGCTCAAATGTTATTCACAAGTGCCTTTTACCCCGAATATCGTAAATGCTGCGTTGAGACAGTAGTTGAAATAACTTAATATGCCCATGGACAACGTATTTTGCAAGAAATTTAGTGCAACTCTATGCTTTCCGTCGTGAACGATCTACATTACGTTCATCTAGTACTAGAACGTGCACTTTCACGTGCACGAAATGCATAGTCGCCCTTTACGCATGTGCGGAAGAGCTGTGGGTATGAAAAAGTCGCAGATAAGGCTGTGTCTGAAACGGGCTTCCAAAGCTACGGTTACAGTGTACATGTAGGTCTGTGGTCCTACATATACATCTAGCTCTTGACAACATAACAGAATGTGGGCTGAGCTTGGAGGCCATTTCCACATGCGCAAATGCATACTACTAAATGAACGTAGATCGTTCACAAATTGCGACAGAAAGCGTGGAGTTTCATAAAATTTCCTGCAAAATAGATGTATGTTGTCCCCAGCCGTATTTAGTAATTTCAACACAACTTGGAATTCTGGATACAAGGCACTTGTGAACTACATTTGAGCTGTCTTCGCCAGGTAAAAATGTGAGGAAAAACATTGTAAATGTTGTGGGGGGGTCCAACTACCCCAAAACTGTGGGATCTGGCATCTGCCCCAATCTCAAGCAGACATCTGGCATGTCAGGACATGCAAAGCAGGGGCAGATCCACAATTTTCCTAAAAGGGGGTGCAGTGATCCTGGATTGCCAAAAAAGGAGAGGGGACGGACTTAAGCTGTAATGGTAAAATGCCCATATGGCGTGGGGTCGGGAGCCATTTCAATTTTTACAGCGGATCTATCCGCGTCCCGGTGCGAAGGGGTTAAAACTGGCAATTTCCTCTCTTCTGTTTCCCCTGGCCTACAAGGTATATGTACATATACTGAGCCAGTTTGCACAGTACCTTGAGGAACCCTTGGCTTCATTACCAGAAAGAATTAATAAATCAAATATCTAAATACGTCTTCAGAAAAAACTTTCTGCCTGTTTGCTGTAAATGAATTCCATTTTTTAAATATTGTCCACACTTGTATACAAGAGCCAGGGTCTGCCTTCTTTCACCGTGTTTGCTCAAGCATGGGCGGGGAATAATAGCTGAAAAGCGGGCTGAGGATCTCAATTTTCACGGCGGCTATAGCCGCATCCCGGCACGAAGGGGTTAAATGGCCATTTCAGGTTTTACGAGTCCAATTAATAAAAAAAATTAAGAGTAATTTAAAAATAATGAGAAATATCCTTACTATTGAGAAGAGTTTGGCTTCAATAAATTAGAGGCAAAGGGGCCATGATTTGCCTTGGATTATACCACAGAGCATCTACAATCCAAAATTTTCCCAGGGCCCTTAAGCCAGTAAGCAGGCCCCAGACCCCAGGCAGTAAGAGCTTTGCGCTCTGCACTAGTAGTAGTCTCCCCATGATAAATTTCATCACAAATTGTTTTCAGTTTTTTTTCTTCATGCCCGTACACATGCCTGCTATGGTTGTTTTTACAGCTGCTAGAAGATTCTTTGAAATGCAGCTGCAGTTTATTTTCTTGTGGTGCCCCCTTGAAAACACGTGTGCACCCCTGAAGTGCCCCTAGAAATTTAGCCCTAGGTATGCCACTGCCTGGCTGACAATGGACTGTAAATTGACTTTTTTCAAACACCGACCCAAGTAGCCTGGGAAGTAACAGTGTCTCCTTCCTCATTGCTTAGCGTTTTAGCTGAAGTGAAGATAATGCAGTTTGCAGAAGTTGCAAGTCTGAAGTTGCTTTGCTTGAAACAGTTCTCCAAAATGGTGGCAGGAAATCGCATTCACCTTCATATTCTAGAAGGTGGGTGATGAATGTGATCGAGAAATGAAAACAGTGTTGGTCTTACATTCAGCACTGTTTGCAACTACTTGTAAAATGATGTAATTACATGTACATGTAACTCCTTTTCCCCTGAGATGTACATACATATACATGTACCTCTATTTAGGTACAGGGTAGTTAGAGCAGTTCTCAGAGTAATACTTATAGTTCTCGGGTAGCACTTTTACTGTTGTACTTGGCAAAGTCCAAACGTTAAATGTAATACCAAGAAAACTTGATGTGCATGTGCAATGTAGGTGCATATCAATGCCAAAGTATATAGTTCAAGTAGAAAGGAACCATGATGTTTATTGTGTGCTCTGCCAAAATGTCACTGTCTTGGTCAACATCTTCAGGTCATAACTCAGTGCACAGACTTTGTACATGTATAGGAATACATTGCATTGCTTTGACGTTACTGCAGCCTGCATGTCAACAGCCAATCTTGACACTTAATGACTTAATGAATTGGTTACACTTTTTGGAAAGAACTACCAAGTGCAACATATTGCTTGCATTTCTTTTTCCCAGAAAGTGGAGAGAGGCAGAGTGATGAACCCCATGGTTCTAGGGTAGAGGTAACTCAGGAGTAGACATGTACATGTAATTAACTCAGCATAATTGGATATGTTGACAGCTAACACGAAACACTTCTCCATTTGTTTCACATGATACATGTACATGTACATATTTCAGAATTCCCCTCTCGTCTCCTGAGAGACCTTGTGCCTGTGCTGAGCATAAATGACTTGGCGAGACTACATCGAATTCTCCGAGAGAAAGGTAAATCCATCCTCCCTCTTCTCTCAGCTCCAGTCTTGGGCCATTGGTAATTTATTCATTTTTAGTTACTTTACAAAAAAAGGTAATCTGAAGTAGGCTGTTTTTGTTTTTTCTCCCATTTTTTTCCTAGGTATTGGTGTGCAACAATACTGGCTGAAGTTTTATCGTCAGGCTTTCCAGGAAGACAGATTGGCGAGACAGTGTTCTTGTGATGACAGCAATTTGGCCAGTTTGGACTGGAGACAGAGGCTTCTTGAAAAGAGGTGTGAACAAGAGCTCCTGAAGTTAGGTCCCTCACCAAGTGAGGGAACAGAAGAGCAAGGTGAGCGATCATTGTGCCTCTGAGCAGACAATTTATTCTATACTAATGCTCTGAAGTCATGTTTATTAACTGCTGTTATTTAGCCAATAAAAAAAACATTTTCTTGATCTCACTTACATGTACTTGCATTTCCCCACCATTCGCTTTTTGGAGGGGGAGGGTTTATGGTTAAAGTTCAAACACAGTTTGAATTTTGATGTTTTAACAACATGTACACATATTGGTCTAGGCAAGTTAAAAACCAGTTTAATGGTTAAAGACTCTTTATATTAAGTATAGTTTAAGTATCAGCAAATATTGGAAGGAGGAAAGCTGTTGGCTTTTCCGCACTCCTTTGTCAAGAGTTTATAAAAAATCAACCAATTACAAATGACTGCATCTTCTGTTCTAAAACTAGAGAAACCAACGTTGTAGCTTATATTCATCTCTACCCACTACATGTAATTCTTTACACCAAATCACAGTCCAATTTTAAGAATTTGTATTTGTTAATTTGTGATCATCCACAGCACAAGAGATGCCATACCAGTTTGTTTAAAACACATTGTAACTTCATAATAGGAGCCTCTTTACTCCCAGAGTCTGTCTACTTATTGCAGACACATTGAGTTTGAAGATTTTGGACATTTTACGGAATCCACTCTCCACTCATGGACCGCTGGATGATTTCTTCCCGTCTTTGGTAGTTCTTCACAGTGATCTTCTTCCCTATGTTCAGGTCAGTAAACAAACTTAAATGTATGTACGTGTGTCATTATGACGGGACTCTGTGCTACTTTGGAAAGTAATGCCTAACATTCTCAGGCATTGTTGTTGGGGACTTTTCTTTGACTTTAACTTTCTAGGAGAACCAGGTCTTTCAAAACTTGCAGTTGCTGGGTTCTACCATCCTGGATCCTTTTCAAAGTCCTCAGTTAAACTTTTGGTTTTGTTTTGAATGGTCGAGGTGTGCATTAGTCTGCTGACACACATATGTATCTGTTTTGAAGTCAGTTGAAATCACAAGATCAGCAGTTGGTTTTTCATTTGTTCTCTTTGCAGAGGAATGAGGAGATAATGAAGATCCTACAGAAGAGTTTGAGAGAGCTGGTGCTGACTGACTACCTGCCCAAGCATGAGAGCATCTTGCAGAGGTTCCTGGAGTTTCTGATTCATCAGGGTGTCTTGAGAAAGTTCACTCTGAAAAATCCTGTGTGTGAGACAGCCAGTAACTTTTTCAACATCCTCAAAGTGTGTGCTGGAGTGCACGACGAGATCCCAGAAAGTGGCTGTGGACGTGTTGCAGTGTCGTGCTGTGGAGGAGAATGCTGCGAACCACTGAGGTCTCACTCGGAATCAACTAGGACCAAGGAGGCACCTTGCGCTGGACCACCACTCTGCCAGATATCTCAAGGGGAGGCTGTAGGTTTGCAACAGCAGCAGGACCCATACAGTTCTAGTGCCCAGCCAAATAAAATAATTATGACTGCCAACCACTGCATACAGCATCTGGTCTTGTGCGATTGTTTCTTCAACAATGAGCGAGATCACGTGCAGATGCTGGAGAAGCTGTTTAGCATATGGCCAGGCCTGAGAGAACTGGAATTTGCGAACTCTACGAAGAGTGGTAACTTGGTTTGTGTTGGCCTTTGTTTGACTTTGTTTTAATTTTTCCCATGATTCATTAGCCAATTGTATGCATCTACAGAGATTTGCTGAAATCACTTTTAGATGGCATATGTTTATTAGGCCATGTCCAAAATGGATGGAACAGCAGGCCGTGACGAATCACCTGTCCGATAGCCCTAGGCAATCAAATTTTCATTCAAGCAATTAAAAGTCTGACTAGCTGTGTCTTTAGCTTATATCTTATATCACCAAACATCTTTCAATACCCTTTTCCCACATTAAAATGCTGGTTTTTATTGTTTCATCACATTTGCAAGGTTTGAAAAGAAACTTCTGTTCCCATTCATGTTTCGCTCTCGCAGTGGTGAAAATACATGCGCAAAGCTCAATACATTAAATGAAGCTGTGCTGGTTCCTGATGCGTTGCACCCATGCAAAAGAATTCATGATGGAAATGTAGCAACCGGAACCAGTCTGTACATGTACTGTACGTTGGGCAACACACACATGAAACTCTAACACTGCCTAAAGGTGCCAGTCAAAAAAACATCAATGTTGCAAGATGTTTTCTGCAAGTAAATTCACATGACTTGGTCAGTTATTTATTTATGTATTTTCTGTGTTCGTGGGTTTAATTTGAAGTTGTTTTGCTCGTACTTGGAGCGATTTGGGTTGGCAAAGTGGTTCTTTCCTCGCTTTCCACCTCTGTGGTCCGGGTTCGATTCCCAGCTCGGTCCACATGTGGATTGGGTTCTCAGTCCCTACCTGATTCCGTGGGTTTTACCCAGAATATTCCTCTGGGGTTTTCCTCTCACCCCTAAAACTGTAACTGCTTCTCATTGTCTCCTCAGTCTCTACAGGTTTCCTTTTGAGGTATCCTTGGTGCCATTACCAGAAAAAATAATAATAACAAATTTCCTACTGCGGCGCAAGGTTTATTGCCAGCTGGTCTGGATGCATCATGCATCTTACCACGCTTACCACGTGATACACAGACATTGTTGGCCAGCCTTAGTGAATTGTCGACTGTAGAAATTTTTACATAGATAAAGACAGTTCATCACTTTTTGAGATAATTTTGGAAGCTGTCATCTCCATTCAGTGTTCATGCCATTCAATCAGCACAAGGAATTGACCTAAAAAAACAAAAAGTTTTCTGACCTATCAACCCAATTTTTGAGAGACATGGAAGCACAACTATTTTTGGCCTGATACAAGACTACATGTATGTGCATGCAGTAGGCCTAAGTTAAAGAACTACAGTAATTGTGGATTCCGAGAAATCTTGGGCAATTGTTGATCCTATTTGGGCAAGCAAATTTAAGGCATGGCCTGCCCAGTTGGCAAGGTTAAAAATTGTGGCAGCCTGCGGAACTGTTACTAAATGATCAGTAAAAATGGCTAAACCAGCTTTGGAAAAGATGAATTAGGTATTCTGAAAAGTTAACAGGGTGTTTTTCATTTATACTTGAATGTATTGCTAAAATTGGTTGTCAGCCGTGGAAGATCCAACGAAAGAAATGGTATGTTGAGAAAAAGTTGCCCTAATAGTTTGATTTAAGGACCGAGCATTTTGTGTGATCTGCATAATCGTTTACTTGGATTTCACTTTGACCAAAACAAACTCACTAACACTTTTGCTGTCTTTATGTAAGATTCAGTGCAGTCAATTCACAACACAGTGAGCCATCAAGAGGTTGTCATGGAGAGGTTTTTGTTGTGCATTACTGGATAAATAGTCTACAAAGGCTCACTCGCTGACTGCGCTGTACATGGGAAACTTCAATTTTTCCAAATACTTGTTTACAGCGATTGAAAAATTGAAATGTTTTATTTCAGTTGGGTGTTACATGTACACGAAAGTCGTCTTAAAGATGGTTTTGTGTGGTGCAGGGACCGACTCAATCAAATATCCCCAAGTTACTGATACATGCACATACCAAAGTGAGCTCAATCGCGGCAGCATGTTGACGTTAAATTTTAAAAGTGGCCTGTTTGTGGCAAACTCTTGGTGGCGCTCTGTATTGTGAATTGCCCTCATTGGCAAACATGAGCAGTCTAAAGCATCTGATCTTGAGCCTTCCATAATAGAAAATGTTGTGTAGAGTGACAAAGTTTCGTCTTGTTTGACATTCTTTCCAGGAGGAACTTCGGAGAAACCTTGTATCAGGGCTCTTATAGGCCTGATTAGGGGACAGAGGCCCACTCCTTCATTGCAGAGGCTGCGCATTCAGGAGAGCTCTTTCGATGAACATTGGCTACTCTGCATGAGTGATCTGTTAATGAGGTTAGTCTCATTGTCAGAGGGGCTTGTAAAATCTCAGACGCTCTATGTGTTGTTCCTTTTGGCAATCCCAAATAGCAGTTTCCATGGCTGATGTGAGGAGCCTGTTCTGTTTGGTTGGGCTGGCTTACATGTAGGTTTGTCTTGTCTTTGGTCTTTTGTTTTTAGTGTTTTGTTTCTTGTTTTTAATTTTTGTTTTGTTTGTTTCTCTAGCATCCCCCAACTTCTATTTTATCTCTGAGGTTTTGTGGGGATCCTCATTTTTTCCTACAGATCAGAGTTCAAGACACTTGAGCTGGAGGGCACTAATTTTCGATTCCTTATCAGAGACTCGGAAGGCGGGAGGCCATGTCTGCCAAAAGATGGTCAGCTCACAAACTACCTGCTTTTCTCGATTTTTCTTTTTTTGTGTTTCACTTGGCTGACGCTGTTGTGGTAGCAGTGATCACTCCCTGGGTGCCTGCTAGAGTGTTGAAAAATATGAGGTTGTGATGAGAAACGCTACTCAAATGTTGTACAAATGAAATGCTCTAACTCAAATAAGCCAGTGTTTGTAGCATTTTGCTGTTCATCAAATGTTTGCTACCGTATCTTGCCATGTCAAAGTTGAAGTTTTCTGTCAGTATACTATCATCCATACGTTGTTAGGCCTCGTATTTAGTAACAGATGAACCTCCTGCCTCCTAATATTATTTATTATTACATGTACTATGTACTTTAGAATGCAATTTTTGTCTTAATATAAACCTGCAAAATGCACCGTTGTATCTCAGTGAACCTTATTTTCAACTTTTGTTTCACTATTTCAAAGGATATTTTACTTCCCTTTTTGTTTTTATGCTAATGAGTATTTTTATATTCATGAGCAAAAGTGTGATGTCATCTCAGGAAGAAACCTCAATGTTACATTGGTATACAGTGGAACGCCGCTATAACGAACAAGATAGGGTCCACGCTAAATGTTCTGTACAGCGGTCGTTCGGTATAGCGAACTTAACTGCCAAACGTTTCGTTGCCATGTTGAATAGTGCCCTCTCTTGTCTAACTGAAGTGCACCCTGTTGTGATACCTTAGGTCGCTGTTTTCGTGATGTTTTGCCGTTGCATTCAAGTTTAAGGTTTCTAGAAATGTATCTGTTAATTATTTTTGTTAAACTTTTTTGTTAAAATTGATATCAAGTTTATCCTAAAACTTGTGAAACTACTGCTCAGGATCGATCTCTGATGCATGCTGTGGCGAATCTCGATTAATTTGTGTATCAGCGGCACCCTCTTTAGAATATTGTTAGTGCTATGCCACCGTGCACGTACTACTACGTGCGGTTTTCTTCCGCACCCAATTATATGGGATCGCAAAACCAGTGTCTATTCAATACCGTTGACAACTAGTGGCTTTCCCTTCTAATCCTTGGGGAAATAATGGCCACTTGTCACTTTCCAACATAAAAAAACACTGACTGTTTTATCATATTGACATTCGGGAATAACAAATGGCAACTGAATAGTGTTCGGTTAGTTCTGTGCACCAATTATTGGGAGCCAAGGTACGATGTTCGGTACAGCCGAATGTTCGGTATAGCGGTGATCAGTATAGTGGCATTCCACTGTACACAAAAAGTACTGCATACAATACTGCAAAAAAATTTCAGCTATACTTTAATGTTTTCCATTTTACTACTCGTTTTTGTTTTTACCACCCAGTAATCAGTTTCAAATATAAACATTGGGACATTTGATCAAGGAGCAAATCTTTGAATAATAGGCACAGACCTGTTTATTACTTTCGTTGTGATTCATAGTTTGATCTCATTCTACTCGTGCCCTTTGGAACAGTTTTCGCTCACATGAATGTGGTTGATATGAAGTACCACCAGCTGGTTTCCCCCCACTACCTGGAGTGCGCCCTCTTGCATCCAGATTGTACCATCACCGTGCTAAACCTGGAGTACTGCCAGCTAAGGACACCACTGGTGGACAGCCTTTTTGTTCATGCCAAAGGTGGTTTTTGATTTTATTTTGTCATTTTTTTTCTGGGTGGAGGGAAGGGGTTCAAGTTATGAATACTGAACAATCTGTGATTAATTGATTCTCTTGTTCCTGTCTAGTATGCGTCACTTTGTTGTATTTTTTAATAATCTACCCTTAGTAATTAGTTAACTGTAAAGGTTAACTTATTTATGATTTTGTATGGAATAGTGTGATGTAACAGCTTCACTCCCAAGATTATTTCACAACTCACTGGCCCCAGACATAAAAGTTCTGTATTACTGAAACTTACATATCGAGATCACCGACGTGTAAGTTGGATGTAATGAACGATAATGTTGAGTGGGTCTTCTTCCCTCCAGACAGCAAATGTCTTCGTGAATTGAGTGTGGTGCGTAATGGATATTGCCCTCACAGGAGTCATTACACTCCAGCTGGTTATTCTGGCCTGGCCCAACTCATGCAAAGTGGCCATCTCACCAAATTGAATTTAGGTGGATGTAGTTTTGCACTAACAGGTATGTCTAGATTTGGATTTTTGTCTAGATTTCTTTTTAAAGGGTTGTGTTTTCTTCAAAGTTCTCCTCCAAACTTCTCCAAAACTTTCGATTCAAATTAGAAAAGCTTTTAAGGAATTACAAGTTTTCCTAATTTAAGCGGGTAATTTATTTCTGTGAATTACCTTGTCCAGTTTGGTGGTTGATATGACAAGGATTTTGGGTAGCCAGTAAAATCACCCATGAATTTGAAATTAATTTTTTTGTTTAAGGAGCACCTCTACAGAAAAAAGCCCTTTCTAGCTTCTTATAGTTGAGCTGTGGATGCTTCCATATTTATTTGAACAGATAAAATCAGAGAAAACATGCTTTCCTTAGAGGTGCTCTTTGATTTAGGGTTTCAGAAGTGTTTGCATCCTTCAAAACTCACATTCCATATTTAGTTATAATAATTATAATGATAAACGTATTAATAATGCAGACATGTCCACCAAGGACTGGTACCTAATGTGCATAATTATTATCTTTATTATCGCTGCTCACTAGGCCCAGAAACTTTCCTAAAATCAACTCTGCTCCCTGGGGAGTATACAGTGCTGTCATTTCAGACACAAACAGCTAATCAAACACACTAACTTTCTGCCTGTTCTCCTGGAGGAATCCATTGACACCCCTGGGTGGAGAGAGAGAGACCCAAGGGGGGGGGGTAAAGTAACTTGCCCAAGGACATAACAAATGCCCATCATTAAGATTGAGCACTCATCATACTACCCCATTATCATACTGTGATTGGCCTACAGTAACCACCTTGTCACAAGTCCCCAGTGTTGGATGTTTTGTGTCAGTTGTTGGCAGCCTATGGCAAGTCTCATTACAGCTTCTGTAGCATTGGTGCATGGGTTTTTAAACTTCTTTTTTCTGACGTAGGTTGGGCCCATGCCACAGATTTTGTGGAAGCCTTGCGTCTCAACTTTTCTCTTCGTCAGCTTCTCCTAGAGGACAATTGTTTGAGTGAGTACCAGAATACACTCTGTATGGAGGGTACTTGTTGGCATAAATGTCAACAGTGCACGTTCTTGTGTCAAGTTACATTTAATTCCTCTGAAGTAGAGGCCCAATGTCATAGCGTTTTGATTAGTTGAGACCTCAAATGAGACAAATGTGGAATACATCAATAAAGATGCAAATAGTAAAATATTTATGCTTAAAATTACTGAAGAAATTTAACTTACCTATTTCTGACTCGTTAACAGTTTTCATGTGTGATGGTTATATTTGCCCAATCATGGATTATACTACACTGGTTTGGAATGCTGGGTTAACTAAAGCTTAGGTTGAGAAATTGGGGAGCATTATAAAATGTGCGCTGGAAATCATTTTGGGATTTGATTACATGTATTTTGACTATGGACAGGCCCTAATGAAACGTAATCTTGTCTCTTTACAAAACCATCAAAGTGACCAATATTTTGACTTTGCATTAAAATTGAAGACCTCAAGCATGTTTCATGAGTTGTCACCCCAGCCAAAACCAAGTCAGGTGCAATACCAACTCCAAAATGCCAGTATCTTATCAACAATATTATTAATTCTTGTGCTTTCTTAATCAGTGTTCTGTAATTTTATATTTTTATTTTGTATCCAGTTGTTGTAGTGTGATTTTTCATGTTTTAATCTGTTGTTCCAACATATGTTTACATATTTGATGTATGCAGCATGGCAATTTAGCCTTCGGGCTACAAACACAGTGTTTTAATAAACCATAAAAACAATTGCACAACTCACTGTTCTCTTTTTTGTCATTTTGGGATACCTCACAGCTGATGAGTGTCTACTTTTGCTTGCCACTGCCTTTGTGAACTCCTCCCCAGAAACCAACAGTCAAGCCTCCAACTTGTGCCTAGACATCAGGTGAGCATGTAGGTGTAGGTCTCGGGGGGGGGGGAATCTGAGAACATACTTCTTGATGAGAGAGCTTGTGTATGTATGCATTGCCTTTGACCCTTCCTTCCCCCTGCACACAACCTGTATGCAGTGTCTGCAACCCCTCCTTCTTCATGTGGACATACTTCATGGACATTGCCTAACCAACTAAGCTTATTTCTCTTCACATTATAGCTTCAACAGTGAAATTACCCACGATGGGATGGACAGGTTCAGCCAAGCAATCCTAGCAAGCACCAAGCAAGGTCGCCGAAGCAGCCGTCTCTGCCACCTGACATTGACGAAGGAAGAAGGGGAGAATGTCCCCGGTGTGCACTGGGAGCTGGCTGAGCTGATAAAATTGACCGTCAATCACAATGCGTCCTTCATGGTGCCCCTTAATTCTGACCGTGGACACATCTCGGATTATAGAAGCTGGACGACGGAGCATCAGTCACAGACTTGAGGGAGAGAAACTCTTTTCCCCATCTGAATTTTGGTTCACAGGAACCACAGCTTCAGTCCTTCATTTTTAAGGAGCGTGATCACACAGGTGCTTTACCGTGCTCCTCGACAGTCCTGAAGGAGCGTAAAAATCCCGCTTCTAAAAAATCTAATGGCACTTTACAAGTTATGAACAATATGACAAAAACAGTGGATAGCATCTCCAAAAGAGGACTGTGATTGGTGTGTGACTTACGATTTCACATTTATCCTGCCACTTCATACATAGGCCTATAATTATTGTACGAATATGATCACTGTGTAGCGAGCGCGGCCTACTTTCGGACCGGCCAGCCGGCCCTCACGCACGTATAGCATGCACACTGTATGTGTACAGTACTACATATACTTGCATGTCCATGTATGCTGCACGCAGTTTTGCTGTAAGTGGTAGTCTGTTACATGTTTTGAGTGGTCAGTTGAATTTTCAGTGAGAAAAGATTCAATCATTATCGATCTACTTTACAGGGCGCTTAAGCAGATAGCGGTGTACCATAAGCTGTGGTCGTCATGAAAACGTTACTCCCTGCATACATACAGCGTGTGTGCCCATTGAATTCACGCAGGAACCACCCCAGCGTGTCGGACCATAATCAAATGTAAACATTGTCATGTTCGCATGTGGGTGCACGCGTGTTGGTTTGACGTTTTCCCATTCTGATTGAGGTGGGTTTGTTACAGTCTGCATCAACTAAACAAAGTTGAAGTATAGTTTAAACTTGCAAATCCCCTTCGGGTTTTGTTTTTAAAGAAATGCTCAAATCGGGATGAAAAAGGTTCACTGCCACTTTTATTTAAATTGAACTACAACTATTAAACTGTGTTGAATTGTAGGTTGAAACTTACATCTGTACATGTAACATCGTCAGCTGGGCCTTAATTTTTCATTTGCAAGTATAAAAATTGTAAGAAAGAAAAAGAAAACAAGTGCTGAGATGATACTATGTATGTGTTGTAAACCCATGTTTCTAACTGAACTTAAAATGAATTTAATTTTAAAAACTGCCCCAAGAACATTATAAACCATCAGAGAAAGTGGAAACAATATAGACCCCCAGGGTACAAACAATCGTTTGACCTTGTTTTCGACTTCTGTTAATTGGTTTATTAAGGAGAGTGATTTACTCTCCTGAGAGATTTGAGGAGAGCGATTTATAGCTCTCCTGGATTTTCTTAAAATGAAGGACTGCAGCTTTGGACCTCTGTGGTCAATTTCTGGCCACCACAAAATGTTACTACATGTACATCTTTATTGATGAGAACTAAGTCATTGCTTTTTCAGTGTGCACTCCTGAACCACATGCAAAATGTAAGGATATTCAATTTTACATAAATTACAACTGCAAGTACATGTAAGATGAGGCTAGTGTTCTTTTTTATATGTGGGAGGAAAATTCCAGAGAAATATTCTCAGGGTGGGAATTTTATATTTAATTTGCTAAATGTTCAGCAAAATTAATGTTTACCCAACATTTTACAGCACATACGAAAAAATTTGTTCCATTGGCGAAGAGATGATCATTATCATAACTGGCTGGCAGTAAATCTTTCACAAGCCAGAGGTGTTCTAAAAGACCTATTACCTGAGGCTGAACCCAAACAGAGACTTTGTGATACTCAAGAGAATGCACTGCGTCCATCAGAACAATAGAGCTGTCACTCACTCTCCAAAAAGGCTTTTCTCACTGTGCTGGAATAAATTTATGTGTATTTAAAAAAAAAAATTCTAGACGGTGATGTGATGTCAAAGGAAAATGGGAACTGACATGGAGAATTCTCCCATTTTGTGTTCACAGTTTCTTAGATTCAGTGTGTGTTTATTTTAACCCCTAAATCATGATACCCACATGTATTTTGCAATTCTGTGACAGTTGTACAGTTAGTTAGAAGTGTATTTTTTGAAAGATTTATGTCTTTTCTCTGATACCTGAAATAGTTGAGTAAATGGAAGTTTATTCATAGCGAAGTGTCATGATAAATGTATCGTAATGGCAATCTATCAGAGGCCAACCGCCAGTAAGGGGCACTAGCTATATGTACATTAAATGTAAATATAGCTAGCCCCCCTTACTTAGTGGAAAATGAAACAATGAAAATACAAGAAAGGAAATCATGTACCTTTTATCAACTGAAATAACTAATTTAATAGGTGCTTCTTCCTCTACAGACAGATATGATTAGAGCTCCAGGGAAGGGCTGGTTAGGTATAAATTGGAGGATAAATATTTGGCATATAAAAATAAAAAGAATACATGTAGTTACTGGCAGAGCACATATTATGAAGGCATGGGATGACTACGGTGAAACACCGTATTCTGGGTGTGGCAAGGGCCAGAACAAGTCAAAACTACATGAAATGAAATTGGAACATGGATCACAGAAAGACCACGCGGATCACTGAACCCCTTCCAAAAAATGAATGGTGGTGTAAAGCAACACCAATTCAGACATTTCAAATAACTAAAGATACATAGATAAAATGAATAGCCACCAATGTGCTGAAAATGTGAGATAAAATTAAACACCACCTTCCACTTCCACACCCTAGCCGCAAGTCCACACCCAGACTATGCTGCAGGTAGATTTGATAGCCTGCAGTGAAAGCTATTCTAAAGGAATGTAACATAACTCCTTATACAAAAGAAGGGAATTCCTAAAACTGCAGTCAACAAAACAGACTAACATTTCAGAACACACAGAGCTAGACCAGGGCTCCACGGTGAAATTGAAGAATACAAGGTTAATCAACAATAGGGTCCTGCAGTGCCATGGCCAGCCAGAAGGCTATATCCTGCTTTAAAGGAACAGCTCCTTGCCATAAAAAATAATAGACTCAAATTTTGTTACAATATTTTGGTGTAATTGGGTCATTTTAGTACTCTGAATGATCCACTGCAAAATGTTAATTCCTGAAAAGGCGTTTTTCTATTGCCAGGCCCCGTCTTGTAATTTCTTGCTACCCTCTGCATATATAAATTATGTGTATGTGTAATAAATTATGTAAATTGTCAGTTGTGACCCGCCAATTATTTTACAGAATAGCCGAGACATTTGAACTAAAATAAAAAAGAAGTTACCATGTCACTACTATGAGCCCACCATTGGTGCTTTACTGGTCCACATCTGTTTTGCTAAGCATGTAATATTCGTAGCATAAGTTCAAGTTTTAGTCTGTGCATGGTCTGTGGCAATCAACTATTATGGTTTATGTTTTGTAAGAGCATTGAACTACTAGGAATATCACCCCAGACATTAATTGTTACTCTTGTTTGAATGAAAACTGACATCCCGTTGGGGTAAAATGTATTAAAACGTCCACTTGAAAAACAAAAACGAAAATTGCTGTTGCTGTGATGACAATGAGGGAATGTAGAGGTCCTTCAGGTTTTGATTATTTGATTTGACCGATTTGCCTTCCCACATATAATAAAATAATACAAAGAATAAATGCATATGCATTAATAAGGAGATAACGAAAAAACAATGAATATACATAAAACTAAGACATCAAGACTTTGGCTACAAAATTACATGTGATACAAAACAAAAACTTTTGTAGAAAGAGCAGGGATGACGCAAGGAAGTTATAAAAACTAATTACTTCCATTGCGGTTCCAAATTGCAAAACCAAGATTTGCTCATTGAAAATATTTCTGAGATTTAGGCTGGATTTTTTTACCACAGCAGGCGTGAAAGTCTATTCACAAAAGACGGGTGTCAACATTGACCTCCATATTATCTGATAATCTGATCAGCACTGGCCCCAAAATCTTGGGCAAACAGAGGCAGCATCCGAATCTCTAGTCTAGAGCTAGGTCTAGGTCTTCGCTCCATTGGAAATATGTGGAGACGCGTAGACAATAGACCTAGCCGTAGCTCTGGTAGCCCGTTTCGGACACGGCCTTAGCCAGCATGTAGCTGGCTAGCCAGCTGGTGGCGCTCTTCCAATCTTAAGACCCGGAAGCGTGCGACCAAAAACACGTCGCACACAAAATACATATCAAAGTTTGTAGTGAAGTACAGTACATGTACATGTACATGTAAATGGTACTAAAGTACAAGTGTGGTTGGTATCCCGAAATCGAAATCACCGGCAAAAGAGATTACGCGTTAGGTGCGAGTGAGTACGAGTATGAGGGATTCATGGACTGATTTGTAAGCTAAACATGATAAAAGTGATACACATACTTTTAATTCAGCACTTCCATGACTTCGGTTACCCACCGTATACGGGGTTTGTCGTCCCCGTCGTTGGGCGGACGACAAACCCCACGTTATTAATTTTGTTTAGTTGTTTGGTTACACTGTACAGTTACTAGGAAAGTAAACAATATTTTGCTTTGAAACTGTGCTGATTTGTTCTTTGGATCAATGGAATTAAAATGGTTGGAAAAATTCAAGATTGAAAAAATGTCAGTTTGGTCATATGACTGAGTATGACAAAACTGATATGTTTGTGGTTTTCGTCACTTTGAGAAAACACTGGCAAGTTGTAGATTTGCATCCTAACAATTTCAAAAACGCCTGAAATTTTTTTTTTGTTTTTCATTATATTATTTCAACTTCCAAGTACGGACACTTTTCAAGTATAGTTCTGCCCAATGACAACCAAAAGCCTTGATGAGGGGTGAGCTACTGACATAATGTAGCCTAGATCCGGCTTAATCCAGATGATCAATTCATGGATCAGGGCAAATACTATAGAAGGCATCCATGGAACGCCCTCACAGAGGACACATTTTGTTATTTAGATTTAGATGAAAATGAAGTACTGCAGTGTCTACTCAAGCATATCACACAGGAACAAATTAAAGACCTGTCCTCTGTAAGGGCACTCCATGCAGGCCTCTCTATAATACAGAGTACCGAAGTGTCTACATCACTCGTACATGTACAACTGCGTGTGTAAAAGGCATTACAGCGAGAATCAGCGCATGAACCAACATGCGCACGTACTCCATTTGTTTGCACTACACTTTCTGGTTCACAGTGACGTCACACTTCAGTACTCTATAGGGATCGTCACAACAAAAAACCTGCTGTACAATGTACATATATAATAAATGTGCAAGCCGATCCAAACAAGTGGGTTGGTTATAGCTCAAGCAGACATCTGGACATACATGTACCAAACAGAATAGGGGCGGATCCAGGATTTTCCTAAAGGGGGTGTGGTCCCCGATTTTCCAATGGGAGGGTGTGAACTAAAGCTGAAATGGTAAAATGCCCGTACAGCATGGGGTGCAGAACCATTTTGTATTCTACATGTGGATGCTCTGTGGTGCAATTTTAGGAAGTACAACCCGTCTTTTTTCGTCCCTCTTTATCTTCTTTTTTATTTATTTGGGGAAAAAGGGGGAGTGTGCACCCTCCATGCCCCACCCCCCACCGATCCCCTGTGAAAGCCAAACTGAGCTAAGTTTGGATGAAGTGCATAAATACGGTGTTTTATACAGCAGCTAGAAGATTCGGAACAGTGATTTTTTTAATTTTGTGTCTTTTTCTTGCAAATAATGAAATTTTTGTAAATAGTGATTTTGTGGGGGGGCATTGGTGTCAGGACATGCGGGCGGTAGATGCAAATCTTCGACTTCTATTCTCATGACCTTAACGGTACACCATTTCCTTCAACAAACCTGACTATAGTGGCATACCTGGGGGGGGCATGTTCCCCCATTTAAACTCTGTGAATAAGTCTTCTTTGAAATGCAGCTGCAGTTTATTTTCATGTGGTGCCCCCTTGAAAAAATGTGTGCACCCCCAGGGTGCCCCTAGAAATTTAACCCTAGGTACGCCACTGCCAAGCTGACAGTGGACTGTAAACTGACTGTTTTCAAACACCGATCCAAGTAGCCTAAGAAGTAACAGTGTCTCCTTCCTCATTGTTTGGCTTTTTAGCTGAAGTGAAGATGATGCAGTTTGCAGAGGTTGCAAGTCTGAAGTTGTTTTGCTTGCAACAAATCTCTGAGTTGGTGGCAAGGAATCACATTCACCTTTGTAGTCTGGAAGGTGGGTGGTGAATATGATCGAGAAATGATGATAATGATGGTCTTTCATTTCCAGCGTTTTCAGTTACACGTACAGTACATGTATAATTAAGGTACCCCTAGAAGTACTGGGTAGTTATAGCCGAGCATTACAATGCCAATAGTTCTCGGCGTAACACTTTTACTTCTACTGTAGTACTTTGCAAAGTCCATAGGTTAGATGTAATACCAAGAAACTTAATGTGCATTTGCAAGGTAGATGCAAATCAGTGCCAAACAATATGGTGCTAAACTAAAGTTTCGCCGTCTTGCAGAGAGGCAGAGTGATGATCCCCATGCTTCTAGGGTAGAGGTAACTCAGGAGTAGATTAAGTTGGATAGCTGACAGCTACATGTATTCTCCATTTGTTTCACACGATGCATATTTCAGCATTCCCCTCTCGTCTCCTGAGAGACCTTGCACCTGTGCTGAGCATAGATGACTTGGCGAGACTACATCGGATTCTCTGTGGGAAAGGTAAATCCATATCCTTGTTCTGTTCTCTTGGTCCATGGGTGCTTTATTGCCATTTTTAATAGTTACAGTGTACCTGACTAAAAAGTAATCTGAAGTTGGCTCTTGGTATTTGTTTTTCTCCCATATTTCCCCAGGTATTGATGTGCAACAATACTGGTTGAAGTTTTATCGTCAGGCTTTCCAGGAAGATAGATTGGCGAGACAGTGTTCTTGCCATGACCTCAGTTTGGCCAATGTGGACTGGAGACAGAGGTTTCTTGACAAGAGGTGTGAGCAAGAGCTCCAGAAGTTGGGTCCCTCACCAAGTGAGGGAATAGAAGAGCAAGGTGAGTGATCATTCTGCCTCTAAGCAGATGACTTATTCTACACTTGCGCTCTGAAGTAATGTTTATTAACTGCTGTTAATAAGCCAAGTAAAAAACAAACACGTTTCTTGATCTCACCTTCTTACATTTTCCCGTTTTCTTTTTTTGGGGGGGTTCATTTGTGTTAAATTTCCAACAAAGTTTAAGTATTGATTTTTTAACATGTACACGTAGCCATCTATGCAAGTTAAAAACTTGTGTAATGGTTAAAGACTCAAATATTGGAAGCATGAAGGAGGCTGTTGGCTTTTCTAGATTCCTTTGCCAACGGTTAAGAAATCAATCAATTAAAAAGCTTATAGTCATCTCTATGCAGTTCATATAATTCTTTACACCGAATCGCAGTTTAATTTTAAGAAGTTGTGTTTGTTGATATGTCGTCCACAGCACAAGAGATGTCATACCAATTTTTTGAAATACATTGTAACTTTATAATAGGAACCTCATTAATCTTGAAGTCTCCACTTATTGCAGACACATTGAGTTTGAAGATTCTGGACATTTTAGGGAATCCACTCTCCACTCATGGACCGCTGGATGATTTCTTTCCATCTTTGCTGGTTCTTCACAGTGATCTTCTTCCCTATGTTCAGGTCAGCAAACAAATTTAAATGTGTGTTATTTTCAGTATTGTACCCGAGACCACTTAAGACCTTCTCAAGACCACACGACCAACCCTATTTTCCAGTCTGAATTCAAGTCACAAGCTATTCAAATGAACTGCAACAAAAGCATTCCTTTCCTATTTTTCACCCTGTTACTTGTGACTGGTCTTGTGCATGGTCTTGTGTCAGGTCTAGTGATGGTCTCGACACCAACACTGGTTACTTTGGACAGAGGAGGCTGTGCAACTTTGGGAAATCCTCACACCCTCAGGCATTTTTGCTGCGGAAAAGTTTTGCATCCTTCAAAATTCTCCACTGTGGGCCTATTAATGATACATTAATTTGAATTCAACTTTCAAGAACTAGGTCTTGGCAAAATTGTAGTTGCTGAGTTCTACCGTACTGGATCCTTTTCAAAGTCCTCATTTAAACTTTTGTTTTTATTTGAAGGATCTGGGTGGGTAGGGTTAATGTGCATTGGTCTGCTGATGTTACATGTACATACTTGTATATCAGATTTAATAGCACTGTTCATTTGTTCTCTTTGCAGAGGAATGAGGAGATAATGAAGATTCTACAGAAGAGTTTGAGAGAGCTGGTGCTGACTGACTACCTACCCAAGTATGAGAGCATCTTGCAGCAGTTCCTGGAGTTTCTGATTCATCAGGGTGTCTTGAGAAAGTTCACTCTGAAGCATCCCTTGTGTGAGGCGGCCGCCGAGTTGTTCAAGATCTTCAAGGTGTGTTCTGGAGTGCTGGGTGAGATTGTGGAAAGTGGTGGCGGGCATGTTGCAGTGCCGTGCTGCAGGGAAGAATGCTGCGACCCACTGAGCTCTCACTCGGAATCGATAAGCACCGAGGAGGCTCCTTGTGTCATGCCACAGCTCTGCCAGATACCTCAAGGGGAGGCTGTAGGTTCTCAGGAGGACCCATGCAGTACCAGAGCCCAGTCAAATACAGTCAATCTGGACATCAGTTGTCCCCATGCATCATCTCATCAAGAGACCAACGCTGTAAAATCTGTTCCAAGACCAGTTTATGACAGGCTGTGTTGTTGCTGCTGTGGATTATTCACTGGCGCACTTACCCCAGAATCTGACCTGGATGGCCAAAGTGCTCAAGACGCCTCTCTGTTTTCCCACATTGACCCTCACAGTCATCGGTGCCATAGGACTGCCGACCACTGCATACAGCATCTGGTCTTTTATGATTGTTTCTTCAAAAACCAGTCAGATCACACCCAGATGCTGGAGACTCTGTTTAGCATATGGCCAGGCCTGAGAGAACTTGAATTTGTGAACGCTTCAAAGACTGGTAACTTTGTTTGTGTCTGTGTCAGATTGACACTTTTTCATTGCTGTGTCACCAATGTCAATAAAATTTCTTGTGTTCACTGACCTCACCAACCTGACCAAGAGCATCCTTTGATTAATCATTTGCAGGAAGGTAGTCATCAACAAGCTGGCTTTGTTTGACTTGGTGTCAGTTTTGCCTTCGAACCATTAGCCCATTGCGTGTATCTACAGAGATATTTTGAAATCACTTCCAGATGGCATATATTAATCATAATGAGGTCATGTCCAAAACAGACAGAACAGTAACTACATGTACATGTAAATGATCAGTATAAATGGTTAAACCAGATTTCAAAATGGTGAATTAGGTATTCTGAGAGATTAGTAGGAGGCTTTTTTATTTGTACTTGAATGTATTGCTTAAAGGGCAATTGGTTATGCACAGTGGAAGATTTTTCACTCAATTAAAGAAATGGTACATGTATGTTGAGAAAAGTTGCTCTGACAGTCTGACTTAAAACCAATGTAATTGTGATTAGGACCTACATGTACATGTGGTATTGATATGCATAATGTTTGATGTGGATTATACTTTGACCAAAATAAACCCACTGATACTGTTGCTGTCTTTATGTGAATATCAATTGGAAAACACAGGCAGTGCAATGTGCCTATCTGGAGCCCTTTGTTATAGAACATACTGTGTAAGTTTATAAAGTTTCTACTTGCCTGTGTTTTGTTTGAATTCTTTCCAGGAGGAACGTGGGAGAATACTTGTATCAAGGTTCTTTCAAGACTGATTAAGGGCCAGAGACCCACTCCTTCATTGCAGAGGCTGCGCATTCAGGGGAGCTTTTTTGATGAATTTAGCTTTGTATGCTGGCTGAGTGATCTGTTAATAAGGTTGGTTTCAATTGTCAGAGGTGCTTGTAAAATCTGAGATGCTCTTTGTGATGTTCTTTTTGGCAGTCCCAGATAGCAGTTTCCATGGCTGATGTGAGGAGTCTGTTGTGTTCCGTTTTGTTTGGTTGGGTTGGTCTTGTGGTCGGTCATTGATGTCTGGTCATTTTTCTTCCGTCTCTTGTCTTTAATTTTGTTTCTTGTTTTATTTGTTTCTGTAGCATCCCCTGCACTTCTTCTTTATGTCTCAGTAAAATTGGCTTTTGTGTGGATTCTCATTTCTCCCTTACAGATCAGAGTTCAAGACACTAGAGCTGGAGAGCACTAATTTTCGATTCCTTCTCAGAGACACAGACAGCGGGAGATTCCTTCAGTTTGGCCGGAGGCGTCTGCCAAAAGATGGTCAGCTCGTAGACTGCCTGCTTTTCGTGTTTTTGTGTTTTTTTTTTATTTTTGTTGGTGTTTGGTTTTGTTTTTGAAGGGGATCTTCCTCAAATAGACCCATGCACTGTATAAAACCAGTTCCTAATCCACTGCACTTTGTGCAAAATTTGGTCGAAAAAACATGCTATTCCCCCATTTGTTTTGCACGCAAACACAAAGTCTAAGAAGTCTCTGGCAGTTGAGCATTGTTTTTTATTTTCAACTTAAATTTGGCTGCTGCTGTTGTGGAGCAAAAATCACTCCCTGGGTGCCTGCTAGAGTATTGAAAAATATGGGTTTGTGATGAGAAATGCTACTCAAATGTTCAAATGAAAGCTCAAGCTTTAATAAGTCAGTGTTTGTGGCATTTTGCTGTGCCTCATCAAATGTTTGCTATCATATCTTGTCATCTCAAAAGTTGAAGTTTTCCGTTAATATACTACCATCCACACATGTTGTTGGGCCTCATATTTATCAACAGTGTGTGGGGCTCTGCAGCTCTGAATGCATCACAGTGGTTCATCCAGCCACCTGTTCACCCGTCTTGAGATTATAGGCAAAATTCACTGATCATTAGGACATGTACAGGCATTTTTTGTCTCATACAAAAGCAGAAATGAAATATTCATATTTTCCGAAACTTAAACGTGAAAAATCATTTTTGGCCATGTGCATCTTGACATGTACATGTACTTTAGAATGCAATTTTTCTGCCCAAGCTATTTAATGTTTTTCATTTTACTGCTTGTTTTTGTTTTCAGCGCGGAATAATCAGTTGCAAATATAAACATTGGGACATTTGATTAAGTATCATATCTTCAAATAATCGGCACAGCCCTATTTATTACTTTCGTTGTGATTTATAGTTTGATCCTGTTCTACTCATGCCCTTTGGAACAGTTTTCGCTCACATGAATGTGGTTGATATAAAGTACCACCAGTTGGTTTCCCCTCACTACCTGGAGTGCGCCCTCTTGCAGCCAGATTGTACCATCACCGTGCTAAACCTGGAGTACTGCCAGCTGAGGACACCAAAAGTGGACAGCCTTTTCATCCATGCAAAAGGTAATTTCTAATTTCATTTTGTCTCTTTTTTTTCTTTCTGGGTAGTGGAGAAGGGTGTTCAGGTTATGAATGCTAAACAATCTTTGTGATTAACTGATCCTCATTTGTCATTGTTCCTGTCTTCGTGTTACTTGGTTTTTTAACAAGCATCAAACCATCGTAATTAGTGGACTATATTAAAGGCTGCTATGGTGGTTTATGGAGCATAATGGTTTAACCACTTCACTCCGGGATTATTTCACTATTGACTGCTGACTATGAGTATACTTGTACATGTAGTAACAGGTGTACCGCATTCTGCCAAGAGTATACTTGTAAGAAATGAAAGGCTTTTGTATTGTAAATTGAATATGCTGGCATCACTGAGAACACAACAAATGCGCTGCTGGCAGTGTGGAGGACATACCCCTGTATAATGCTCATGTTCAGACAGACACCGAAAAGGAACCTATTAAATATGCACACCTGCAAATTTGAATTCCTAATGAAATTATGCATGGCAGTCAATGTGTTAATGTTTTGGGGGCTAGGGGAGTGTTTAAATTGATGACATACCATGGTCACAGACGTTCAAGTCAAATTCAATGAGCAATGTTGTTGACTGTTGAGTGGATCTTTTTCCGTCCAGAAAGCAAATGTCTTCGTGAATTGAGTGTGGTGCGTAATGGATATTGCCCTCACATGAGTCATTACACTCCAGCTGGTTATTCTGGCCTGGCCCAACTCATGCAAAGTGGCCATCTCACCAAATTGAATTTGGGTGGATGTGGTTTTGCATTGACAGGTATGTCTGGATTTGGATTGTTTTGATAGGGCTGTGGTACATGTGTGCTGCAAGTGAAATATTCAGATTTTGGGTTCAAATTAGGGAAAACTTTAAGGACAGATACAGAGGAATTGCAGTTTAACTGTGCAATTTATTTCTGTGAACTACCTTGCCCATGTTGGTGGTTGTTTTTTTGAGAAGCATGTTGAGTAGCCAGTAAAATATGATGTGAATTTAATGAATTGATTTGTTTTATGTAGGGATCAACCGATGATCAGATCAGACATCGGATCGGGCCGATGTTCGGCAACATCAGCAAAACATTGGACATCAGCAAAACAAAATTTGACCTTCCTTGACGATTTGATGGTGTCAATGTTAAAATGAAAAAGGAGCGCATTCTGCAATCAATTTTGGCAAACACAAATCTCATATCTTTTATTTGAGCATTCATACAAACTCAGGTTTTTTCAATTATGGTGATAAATTAACAATTATACCATGGGTAGACTTATGTAAAGTATCCCCAAAAATTACATCTGTGCGATCCATGCTGCAACAACTCGAAGGCACAGTTAGTGTACAAGTGACATTTTAAGGGAGTACGCTGGTTTTGTGTTGTTAGGGGCAAGCTTACATCCTGTTAAGGTTGCGTTTTCAGTTATTGTTGGAAAAACATTAGATAGGATTGGACATCAGCCAAGGTTCCGATTAAAACATTGGACATTGGATCGGCAGTTAAAACCTGTATCAGTTGATCCCTAGTTTTATGTAGGTTTTCTGAAGTGTTTGTTTTCTTCTAAAGTCACATTCTGTGTTATATTAATAATGATAAATACATGTATAATCATAGGCAGAGATCCTGGGGGTGAAAGGGATATATCCCCCCACTCTTGGTGGGGATATTACCAATGTAATCATCCCCCCCCCCCAATTTTTCAAGTTACTGACTGTATGCACACCTGTAGCCTGCACCACCGGTGCTGCACTTGCCAGTGTCACAATCTGACCTGGAATAGAGGATGTACAGAGCTTTCAGTTCCCCCGCATGTGACAAAAAATCTCTGTCCATGAATATAATTATAATGAAAACTTATTCACTGTAAATGAGACCTTGAGGTGCAAAGCATCATTATTAGCATTGCTCAACAGGCCTAGAAACTGTCCTGAATACCATCTCAGATTCCCGGGGAGTATGCAGCTCAAGGTTGCCATTTCAGGCACAAACAGCTGATCAGACACAATAATCTCCTGTATCTGCCCTTCATAGACATGAGGAGCCCATTGACATCTCTAGGTGGACAGGGGGAGAGAGCAAGAGAGGGGGTGAGAGAGAGGGAAGGGAGAGAGAAGCAAGTACGGGTAATTTGTAACTTGCCCAAGGACACAACAAATGCTCATGGCTGCAATCAGCCTGAAGTAACCACGATACCCCATGTCCCAAGTGCTAGTGTCAGATACTTTGTTTTAATTCCACATTTCCCTTGGTAGCCAGAGGCAATTTTCATGAAATCTGCTGTAACACTTTTTTTTTCTTACTTAGGTTGGGCCCATGCCACAGATTTCGTGGAAGCCTTGCGCCTTAACTGTTCCCTTCATCAGCTTCTTCTGGCAGCCAATCATTTGAGTGAGTACCAGAATACACTCTGTATGGAGGGCACTTGTTGGCATAAATGTCAACAGTGCACATTCTTGTGTCAAGTTACATTTAATTCCACTGAAGTACAGGCCCAATGTCATAGCGTTTTGATTAGTTCATGGGACAAACATGGAATATTTGTATAACAAGGCACACAGTAGAATGTTTATGCTTAAATTATTGAAGAAATTTCACTCACCAATTTCTGATGTGTTAACTGTGGATAAAGGTTATATTTGTACATAACTGAGTGTTCTCTTTCTTTGTCATTTTGGGATACGTCAAAGCTGATGAGTGTCTACATCTGCTTGCCACTGCCTTTGTGAATTCCTTGCCAGAAATCAACAGTCAAGCCTCCAACCTGTGCCTAGACATCAGGTGAGCGTGTAGGTGTACGTCTCGGGGGGGGGGAATCTGAGAACATGTTTCTTGTTGAGAGAGCTTGCATATGTATGTATTGCCTTTGACCCCTCCTTCCCCCTGCACACAACCTGTATGCAGCTTCTTCAACCCCTCCCCCCTTCATGCGGACATACTTCATGGACAGTGCCTAACCAAATTCCTCGTCACTTTATAGCTTCAACAGTGAAATTACCCATGACGGGATGGACGAGTTCAGCCAAGCATTCCTAGCTAGCACCAAGCAAGGCCGCCGAAGCAGCCATCTCTGCCACCTGACATTGACGAAGGAAGAAGGGGAGAACAACCCTGGTGTGCACTGGGAGCTGGCCGAGTTGATGAAATTGACCGTCAATCACGAGGCGTCCCTCGATTGGCCCCTTGCTTCTGACCGCGGACACATCTCGGATTATAGAGGCTGGATGATGAAGCATCAGTCACAGATTTCTGGTTCACAGCTTTGAAGGTTTTTTGGGCCAATTTCTGGCCACCACTAAGTGACACTAATAGGAGAAGCAACTCGTATCAATGGGAGCCATGTCTACTGTTTTTAACCCTCCTTTAGTTTTGCAGCGCAAATGTGCACAAATGCCCACAGTCACTGGTGAGCATGTATTTTCTATATGGAATTCAAACA